TCGAACACCACGACAGAAGAACGAGCGAGCTCGGCCGAAACCAGCCCGGCGATTTTGGGGTCCAGCAGGTAATGGTAGCTGTACACCACCACGTTGGCGTGGGCCAGCTGCAAGTTTTGGGGTGAATTTTTGGGGTTTTTGGGGTCCCCAGAAAAAATTTGGGCGATTTTAGGGCGATTTTGAGGGATTTTAAGGCGATTTTAAGGTGATTTTTAAGGCGATTTTAAGGCGGTTTTGGAGTTCGCCAAGGGGGTTTGGGGGGATTTTAGGGAAAGGTTTGGGGTCCTTAGAGGGGTTTTGGAGTGAATTTCGGGGATTTTTGGGGTCCTCAGAAAAAAATTGGGTGATTTTAGGGCGATTTTGAGGGATTTTAAGGTGATTTTTAAGGCGATTTTAAGGCGGTTTTGGAGTTCGCCAAGGGGGGTTTGGGGGGATTTTAGGAAAAGGTTTGGGGGTCCTTAGAGGGGTTTTGGGGTGAATTTCGGGGGTTTTTGGGGTCCCCAGAAAAAATTTGGGTCATTTTAGGGCGATTTTGAGGGATTTTAAGGCGATTTTAAGGTGATTTTGGGGCGGTTTTGGGGTTCAAAGGGGGGTTTGGGGGGATTTTAGGAAAAGGTTTGGGGTCCCCAGGGAGGTTTTGGGGTTCCCAAGGGGATTTTTGGGGTCCCCCAAGTGGGTCTGGGGGTCCTTAGAGGGGTTTTGGGGCTCCTCAGAGGGGTTTGAGGGCGATTTTGGGGGATTTTATGGCGATTTTAAGGGGATTTTTGGGGCGGTTTTGGGGTTTGCCAGGGGGGTTTGGGGCGATTTTAGGGAAAGGTTTGGAGTCCCCAGGGCGGTTTTGGGGTTCCCAGGGGATTTTTGGGGTCCCCCAGGTGGGTCTGGGGGTCCTTAGAGGGGTTTTGGGGCTCCTCAGAGGGGTTTGAGGGCGATTTTGGGGGATTTTAAGGCGATTTTAAGGTGATTTTGGGGTGATTTTTGGGTGATTTTTGGGGTTTGGGGCGATTTTAGGAAAAGGTTTGGGGGGTCCCAGGGGGGTTTTGGGGGTCCCCCAGGTGGGTCTGGGGGTCCTTAGAGAGGTTTTGGGGCTCCTCAGGGGGGTTTTGGGGTTCCCAAAGGGAATTTGAGAGGATTTTAAGGTGATTTTGAGGGATTTTAGGGCGATTTTGGAAGGATTTTTGGGGTTCTTAGAGAAATTTTGGGGAATTTCAGGGCGATTTTGGGGATTTTTGGGATTTTTTTGGGATATTTTGGAGATTTTTGGGATATTTTGGGGTCCTACCGAGGCTCTGGCCAGGAAATAGGGGCAGCAAAAAAAACCCTGGAGCGATTTTGGGG